AACTAAACATTACAGATTAATGGAATGGTTTGGTGGAAAATCAAATTTACACAATTTTCGACCTATCCCACATCTAGGGTTAGGGTTTTTTCTTCTTTAGACTAAAACTGGGGCTATGAGGCTGATGTTGCTAACAAACACCAGAAGTCAATAGTCACCCAAATCTTTTCTGTAAATACTTCCCCAAAACTTCTCACAACCTTCTCAAACTGCACCCAGGTTTTCATGAAGTGTTTGAGGACACAGTTTTATTTTCATAGCTGAAAGCTGGGGACAGCCACTTTAGAAAAGACTTGTTGTATTAAATGACATGGTGAAGTTTTTAACATTTTTGAAGTTCACAGTACATCACATCACATCCTAACCCACATCAACATGTCTGCATGACCTCAAGATATTGCAGATACTGTTTTATACGATCAGCAATGAAACAGATGCCAATGTTTTTTAGGTAAACAATACTGCAAATGTGGCATTTATAACATATATTTCATATATTTTTGATTTGAAAACAATAATATGCTATGATAGGTAATATGTGCAAGTCTGCATGCTGATTCTGAAAATAACTGAAAACAAGTGCTGGGTTTGGCTCTGAGCTCAACCTTTGGCTGAAAAGCCTAGTGCTTTAATACTAATAATGAATCCCATACTGTATGTGTCACTGCTGCTACAGAATAAAACCTCCAGCATGTAATTCGTTCTTAGCGTTGGTTAACCCTTACAGCGTCCATCTGCTACTAATACAGCAGTGTGGCTTTTACTGTGCAGCCACTTCTCCCTGTGTAATCTGTACATCGTCACTCTCGCTTTATCTCCAGCTGTCTGTTTATTCTGTTAAAAAAATGCCTTGGGCTAAAAATAGTGCTCAAAAACACAAATTCTACCATATATATATATATATATATATATATATATATATATATATATATATATGTTGGTGGTGGGGTGTTGTGGTGGTGGTCTTATTGATTTGTGTGTGCATGTGTATAGAATGTATAATATATTATAATTAATTAAAATACTACTGCTAATACTAATATATAACTACATTACATAATTATAGCATATAGCATATGTGAATGTTATTTGTATTTATATAATAATGAGTGTTTTATTATAGTAAAGTATAGAATATAGAAGAATTAATAATTAATTTATATAGTACCACTACTACACTACTACTACTGCTAACAGATAATAATAATAATAATAATAATAAGAAGAAGAAGAAGAAGAAGAAGAAGAAGAAGAAGAATGAAACTGTAGTGAATCGAGTGTCCACTAGGTGGCGCTCCTGTTCTGGCGCTCAGGCGGATTCAGAGCGTCAAACAGCGCGGAACATTTCAGCGTGTTTTATATACTATAACACTCCTGAGTCTCTCAGAGGCGCCTGAGTCCCAACACAGAGAGCAGCACTCTGTAATGCAGAGTGTAAATTCACTGCCTTCAGAAAAAGGCTGGAGATTTTCACACCGATGTTTCGCTGTGAATCTGTGTGTATTATATGACTCTATATTGCGGACTGTTGTCTGCGTTCAGGCTGTTTTGAACTTTCTTTAACTAAAAGGAAAATGAGTTCAGTTCTGGGTTTTGTTTCATCCCAGACTGATCTAACAGTAGGAAACTCAAAGCAGCCACCTGGGCAAAGTAAACAAACTCTGAACAGAATAACGTAAGCACGTAAATAAATAAATAATACATTTATTTACTTTGATCTGTTTGTTCAGTGTTTTTGTTAATAAAATTAGACTGCTTCTTCCCATTTCAAACCAACACAAATATATACAACCATTAATAATAATAATAATAATAATAATACTAACAATAAAGTCCATTTTGTCATTTATTTTTGTTCATTCATGATAAAAATATGCCTTAAATATCATCTGTTCCCGAATAATGAGACTAGATTTCTGGTGAAGAGTCTGTTCACCTTCATTCTGTAAACAGAAACTCGAAATATATTGAATTAATATTTCATTTCTCATCAGTCTGTATTAAAGCGTATGTAATGCATGCAATACGATGATCTTTGCACTTTATTTTAATAACGCTTTAGAATAATATTGCACGTATAAAATGTTAATGAATGGTTTATAATTAGTATAATAATCGTTAAAAATTACTTCACAAATACCTTTAAAATTATTACTAAGCAGTTACAACACATTAATAAAAAAGGACAACAGTAACTCCACATCTTGCTGGTTACTATTCTCCATCAGGCAGCACTGAACCTGCCAGCTTCGTCACATATTCATATTCATATAATTTAACAGCTCACTTTTGTTTGCTTATTAATGTGTTATAGCTGTCTAAATTATTCTTAAAGTGTTTATGACCTAATAATAGTACTAAGCTAATTTTAAACTATTCATAAACCCTTTAAAAAACCACTCTAATCCTCTCTGTCTGTAATTAACGAGCACTGCACCGCGTTATTAATTAAATGAGATTAAAGATGATACAGTGCAGCTTTCCAGTGTGTAAATCCTCGTTTTCCCACCATATATTCGCTGTAAACGTGGTGAGAGGAAATGCAGAGATGTGAAGGAGAGAAAACAGAAAGCAAACTTTTTTTAGCTTCAGTAATGATTGAACTTCAGATCTGATCTAAACGCCTACAGTGCAGCTAAACGCACCGAGAACAACCTCCATAAGTCCATGAGTCTGTAAGACTGTCCGGCCACATAAAGCACCCTTATTAACATTTTACAGTCGTGTGCAAAAGTTTTGGTCCCCCTGGGTAAACTAGCCGCATGTTGGTTTTCTGAGTGAAAATAAGTGAACACTCTATAAGAAAACACACCTCTGGACATTTTAATGCACACTCACTGTTTATTTACTGAATTTAACATATTGGGGGAAAAAATAGCACAAAAATATGGTTTGTGCAAAAGTATTGGCACATTTTATATTTTATGTTCTCCCAGAGTGTTAAACTAGGCAAATACATAAAAACTGTGCACGAATATTTGCAGAACAATGCCATGTTGAGGCGTGTTCTCTGTAGAGGAGGTGTTTTCACTTAAAAAAACCAACCAAACCTAATTTCACTAGGAGTCTTCAAACTTTTGCATACGACTGTATTTACTGATATTCATGGTTATAATTTAATATTCTTACTTATGTTTATATCCAGATATTTATGTTTATACTCATGTTTAAATAAGTATTTTTCAGTTTTAAATTTTCGTCTTTATATTTATGATTATATTCAAGAATTCATATTTGTTGACATGCTTAATTATAATCTGATTTTCGTCGTTATATTCTGGTGTTTCTATACTGATATTCAAACTACTGGAATGGGAATGGGTTTTCCTCTTTGGTGCCAAAACGTCATCCTACCTGAATTAAATGTCTTTCATTGCCTTGAAAATAAACAGAATACAATTACTAAACGTGTTTTATTGAGAAGACAGAAAACAAGACCTTCTCAATCATCACAGATAAACGCTATCAAACAGCGAGAGCCCTGAAAACACTAATCAACATCAGGAAACGCCTCCATCCGTCTCACCAACGCGTTCCTTCTTCTCTCCTTTACCTGAGAAAGACTTGGTTTGCATTTGAAGCTGCTGAATAGCATCTGTTAAATTCGTAGAGAAAGAAGCTCCAAACTGGCTGAAACAACTGAAGGTAATAACACGTGACTAGTTTTGAAATGTTTGGGATAAATACAGTAATTTGTTAATTATATTTTATTAATTCAGTGCCATTTTAAATATATATTATTTAAAATGTACTCTGGAATGGGACCTTGACGTCGGGGGTATGAAGCACCCCTAGCAGCGGGCTGTGGATCATTGAAACTGGCGTTGGAGTGGCGTTTATGATCCACGACTAATCATCCAACATCAGTACCTGACCACACTGCTTATGTTGCTGAATGCAATCAAATCCTCTGTATAATATATATATATATATATATATATATATATATATATATATATATATATATATATATATATATATATATATATATAATTACACTAGAAGATGGATTATATATGCTGCGTTGTCTTTCCGTGAGGTATAACATCTCCGCGAGCGGGAGATACTCACCTGGAATATACAGCCTGCAACATGTATTTTATTTATTTATATATTTTTTCACGACTAAAACGATGTGAACTGCACGAATTCACATCATATTTCCTGAAGTAAAAAGATGTTTTAACATAATAAAATATAATAAAAACGCATAATTCTTATAATAATAATAAAAATAATTAAAAAAAAAAAAAATAATAATAATAATAATAACAACAATAACATGGTTATTATTATTCATAATTAAATAACGCTATTATTATTATTATTATTATTATTATTATTATCTCTGTTGTTTTTGTAAAGGAAAACAAATAAGCTTACAATACGCAAAAAAGTAAATAATACAATAAAAAGAAAGAAAGAGTAAATAGTTCATTTAAAGCTCGTGCCTGGTGATGTCCAAGTTTTTTAATCCGGTGTGAAAAAGCTACGAGCCACAAGAGTGTATTTTTCACACCCGCTTTCCGACACGCGCTAGTCGCAGACATCTTTTCATTCTAGAACACATCTGAAACATAAAACCGGTCTAGAAGCCTTCTAGAACGGTGAAACAAGTGAGTAAGAACCGCCAGCCAATCCCAGCGCGCGAGGGGCGTGGTCTTACCGGAATATCGTTTTGGAACTCTCAGCCGCTTTGCCTCCCAGAGCAGTCTGTGACTACGAATCTGCTGGCCAATCCCTGCGCAGGAAGGGCAAGGTTCTGAAAAGCGAAGCGCCACGGGTTCTAAAACGGCTGGCCAATCCTGGCGCGTGAGGGGCGTGGCTTGTCTGAGAACGGGTGGGATAAGAAAAACCTGAGCTTTTGCCAGTCGCGAGCGGAGGTCTTTTCATCTTTGTCCAATAGGAGGAAAGGATTAAGGAGGGGGCGGAGTCGTTGCTGAAAGGGGGGGTCTGTGCCCCCCCTCCCCCCCCCCCAGGTGAAGAGTGGGACGGTAAAAGCTCTTTCTCTCACACTGAAGTTGCACCGCGTCTGGATTTTACCCCCAAAATCGACCCCCCTCCCCCCAAACCACCGCCAGAAGGCACGCGGGACGACATGAGAGTCCGAGGCGGATTACTGCTGCTGGTCTGAGCGAAGCTTGTCTTGATTTCGGTTCCTTTTTTCGTCTAAACTCGCCATGGCGGTGCGGTTCTCCATCCAGGCCATTCTGGACAGAAAGGAGGAGAGCCGCCAGCTCAAGGGTTTGTTCGCCGAAAGCGCGTGCTGGGAGGAAGGAGAACGGCAGCGGAGCGCCTGCGTGGCGCGAGAACAGCGGGAGGGGTACGAGACCGACTCTGGGCTGAGCGAGGACAACGAGGACGGAGGCGGAGGAGGTGGTGGAGGAGGTGTAGGGGAGAAAAGGGTCTCCCCGAGCGCGAAGGAGAGAGACAGAGCCGCGCTGGAGGAAGAGGAGGAGGAGGAGGATGAAGAGGAAACCGCGGAGAGCGCGAGAGCGCTGAGCGACTGCGAGCTCTCCAACAGCGTGTGTGGTGAGTGTGAGAAAGTGTGTGTGTGGGTGAGAGAGAGTGTGTGGGGAGTACGCGCGAGTGTGTGTGAGAGAGTGATGAGAGGTTTTAATAAAGTGATAAAGTGAACCGCTTTAAATCTTTTCCACTGAAACTGCGACAGAAAACAGCTGTAGCAGTGATGAGCCGCGAGCGCCTGAATAGAACAACTGTTGTATTCATCTCAAACTGAATGCTTAAAATATACAGTGAAAGCTGTAAATTTAGCTCTAAAACTCAGTTTACAATTTACAATTACTTTTCTCTTCCCACTCAAACATTTCCCTGAAGATATTTTGCGCAGCTCTTTCAAAGCAAAGGGAAAGTTTAAGGCCCAACATTTCACCTGAGACGTTTATGTAAGTGACTATTAAACTAGAGTAGGGAATCTGATATAGAAAGAAAAGAGAAAGAGTTGCTAAATATTTACGTTGTAGTTGGTTGATGGAGAAACTGTGTACCCGCCAGAGCTGCTGAAGATATTGCAGATACTGTAAATGATACTGTACTCATTGTAGGTGATGTAGATACTGTAAATAATATTTGTAGTCATTCACATAATATTTTCAAACTGTGAAACTTGTGAAAATATGCGTTGGCAGAAAGAAAAACACCCCGCCCCCTCCAAAAAAAGTGAATAGATAAATACAAATCAAAAAACTTGAAATCAAGAATTTTAAGTAAATAAAAAAACTTCAAAAACAAATTATTTCAATGGTAAATATGTAAAAAAAAAATAATAATAAAATACCTGCAAAAATATTCACAATGATATCAGATGACTTTAAATGATTAAAATGCAATGTTAATGAAAAATGAAATGGGTAATTCATTTAATTCATATAAATATATTACAATTAATTAAAATGCAGAGTTCAGGAAAAAAATAGTTTCCTTAAAAAATTAACAAACCAATAAAGCTCGAACTGTTTGACAGTTTAAAAACAGAACCTCTGACGTCACTGATTAGAAGCCTTCTGTAAGACTGTAAGGTATATAAGGCAGCTTTTTTGTGATTTATTTATAATAATATATATTGAATGTACATTTAATTTTTCTGTATTGTTATTGTAGTTCGCTCTGATTGATTAGGCCAAACATAAGTTCCCTCACAAATTCTATTCTATTCTATTCTATTCTAGCTGCTTTTAACTGTGCTCACTCTTTTTTATCGTGGTGTTTCATTTATCTACCCAGACTCCAGTACGGTGGAGGACCCGAGTTGTTGTGAGGGGAGGACCAGCTCCGACCCCCCTAAGCAGCGGAAGAAGCGCTCTCGCGCCGCTTTCTCCCACGCTCAGGTGTTCGAGCTGGAGCGCCGCTTCAACCATCAGCGCTACCTGTCCGGCCCCGAGCGCGCGGACCTGGCGGCCTCGCTCAAGCTGACGGAGACGCAGGTGAAGATCTGGTTCCAGAACCGCAGGTACAAGACCAAAAGGCGCCAGATGGCCGCCGACCTTCTGGCGTCCGCCTCCGCCGCCGCGTCCGCTTCTGCCGCGGGCGCCGCCCCAGGCGCGAGGAGGGTGGCTGTCAAGGTGCTGGTGCGGGACGACCGGAGGCAGTACGCTCCGGGGGAAGTGTTGCTGCGGCCTCCGCTGCTCGCGCTCCCGCCCTCGTGCTACTGCCCTCCATATGCATACTGCCTGCCCGCGTGGAGCCTCTCCGCCTGCGCCACCGGGAACCAGTGACGCAACTTCCTATTTATTCTGCAGCGCGAGCTGAGACTAAACCGATGGACCTGGCAAAAGGAGAGGACTGCCCCATATCTCGCTGCGGACTGATGATAGCACTTTTTGTGTTGTCCATAACCCGTGTTCGAAATGGCACCCTACTCACAGTTCCCTAGTGGAGAAATGGAGCACGCGCTCTGTTCTCATACTTGCGCTCTGTAGGCTACACTCGTCTCCTAGGCAGTGCATACTAACCAAGACACAGACCACCTGCAAGTCCACCAGTACTCTAGTACCCTACCGTTAGAACCGCTGTGCACTTAGCTATAATGGAAGCAGCTTGGAGGATGGTTAGTTTGCAAGCCATTATAGTTATTTACACTTCTCCCTTTGAGAAACGTACCATGCGCTGTATTCACAAAACTTGTGTTCTAGCAAAACTTGTGTTCTGTAGGCTACACTCTGTAGATCTACTAGCTAGTGCATACTAGCCAAGACACTGGCAAGGCTAAACTTACCAGTCCACCCGTACTTAGCCTACAGCTAAATCTGCTGCGCACTTAACTGCAATGGATGCAGACTGCAAGATGACTAGTTTGTAGGCCATTATAGCTACTCACTATTCTCCATTTGGGAAAAGCTCCACGTGCTGTGTTCACATTGCCATACTTTTGTTCTGTAGGCTACACTCATCTACTAGCTAGTGCATACTAACACATACAAGACACTGGCTAGTGTAAAGCTACAAGTCTGCCATTACCTAGCCTACAGTTAAAACTGCTAACTACAGTAGAAAAGGCTCACTTGTTACTTAGTTTAGGCCAAATAGCTGCTCACTATAGTCCTTTGGAGAAACTGAGCACTATGTTCACAATGACATGCCTGCGTTCTGTAGGCTACATACATCATGGTGCACACAAACCAAGACATGAACTATTTACCAGTCTGCCAGTACACAGCCTACAGTCAAAACCGCTGCACACTTAACTACAGTGGAAGCAGCTCACTTGTTGTTTAGTTTGTAAGCTCACTTTTCTCCACTGGAGAAACCTAGCATGCCTCGTGGTTATACTGACATAATTGTATTTTGTTTGCTACACTTTTTTGCAAGCTAGTGCATGCTAACCAAGACACTGACTGGGGTAAACTTGCTAGTCCACCAGTACTTAGCCTACTGCTAAAACCGTTGCACATTTAATTACAACGGATGGGGCTCGCTTGGTGGTTAGTTTGTTGGCCATTATGGCCAGCTAATATGAACAATATAGCAAGCAAAATATAAGTAAAACTAATGTAACAATTGCATAGGAGACACAAACATAGAAAAACCATAGAAACAAGTGAGCGTAACAAACACGGGTGGTTATGTCCTCAGCCATCTGAGTAGTGGTTACTGGAATTCTGGGATTTCTGACTGAGCATGTACTGTTGCATGCTAGAATTTTCCAAGTGCGCAAATCAAATTCTGGCAGACTTGTTGCTAGCATACTAGCGGTTTGGAACACATTAGCTATGACAACTAGAAGCTAAGCATTTTAAAATACAAGCACTCTTGAGCAAACTGGTCTAGAATACTAGGCTACGCATCGAGTTAAGCATTCTGGGACACAAGCACATACAAGCTTAGCCTTCTTGAACACAAACATGCACAAGCTAAGCGATCAAGAACACAAGTACACATGAACTGAGCGCTGTAGAACACAAGTGCACACTAAGTGAGCTACGACAGAACAGAACAAATGCGCAAGTTCTAGATAGAACACATTCTGCACACTAGCTAAGTGTTCCATGAGCTAACCATTGTAGAACATGAGTAATTGTTCTAGATAGAATACAAATGGTGGTCAGGAGCTAACTGGAGTGCAGCCATGGTTTGGATGCTACCTACTGTGGTGCACTGCTGGACTTCGCACGTGCACTGGATTATTTCTCCATGGACACAACCTGCAATATGATGGACTCCCAAAATAGTGCGCTAAATTGAGAGTATACAAGTGAATAGGGTGCACTTTCGGACTTCCAAGGGACCAGGGAAGGGGCGATATATCCAGAGACCTGCCTTCAACTGTTTTAAGCTGAAATAGTCCCCTGTCTCTCTACAGACTGATGATATCACCTTTGGTATTATAAAGCGTTTGGTATTATTATATATATATATATTTTTCTCTGAATGTATGGAATGTCTTTGATTTCGGTTCAGAGGGGCAGAGAGGCTTTTTGAAGCGTTTCTTTCCTTCACTTGGAGAGCAGCTGTTGTAGGTGAACAGTGACGGTAAGAGTCCAGCACTTTGCACACCTTTATAGTCTAAATCGTATTTCAGGATGGGATCATTGAGCTGAAGAGTTTGGTGGCATTAAAACCTGAAACCTCGACGTTTTTTATCAAACATGCTTGTTTCTCTGTTAGTGTACAATGTTTTTTGTTTATTGAAAAAGAAAGCAGACATTAAAAGATATGAAGCAGAATTTGAACCGTTTCTCCCTCGTGTTTTGTACAAGTGGTCGCTCTTGTAGAAAGTGACGTCAGTGGGCCGTGACCTCAATTTGTATTTAAAGTAGAAATACAGTTTAGGCTACAGTTTAGGGCTAGGATTACATGGTTATTTAGTCATTGCAGAAGAGATTTGGACTCACATACTACAAAATTAAAAATAAATAAATAAGTAAATAAATAAATAAATAAAACTCCTGAGACGCAACTCTCCAAACTAGAGTATTTTTCGCGAGAAAATTTATAAGAAAAAATATTCAAAAATTTTAACACATTCGAAGAAGGCTTCACTGGTTATTGTTATTATTATTATTATTATTATTATTACTAGTAGTAGTAGTGTATTTTTATAACATTATAAGAAAACACATTGCCACGATTAATAATAGTAATAATGATAATAATAATAATAATAATAATAATAATAATGGTATATTTCTGTGTTTGTGTCGTTGTGCCGATGAAGGTATCTTTCTCATATTAGTGTCTAATAATGCCATTAGAATCTAATGTTATTAGGGAGGGTGATGAATGGGCCTCTGTAGGTCCACCGTCCTGCTTTATGAGCTCTGTGAGCTGCGTTTGGGGCAGTAAAACGTGTTAATATGATTTAATGCTCCTTTGGCCGGAGGGGCAGCAGCGCTGAAGCTGTAGATCAACCTTAAACCCTTCTGAGCTGAGTTTACCACCCTGACCGAGCAGAAACACGAGAGCTCTGCTGGAGCGCGAGGCGCATCTTCTCTCATAAAGCGTGCTGCGTTGAAGGCTGCGGAACTACAGTACTGTCACTGTTACAGTGGAGAGTATCTGAGCTGGTAACAGAGGAAAAGAGATGAAGAGCCTTTTATTTCGGGTGAAATGTCAGTCTGTGTTTTCTGTTCGGGTGGATACGTTTTCTCTTATTCTTATCCGCTTGTCCGCGTCTTGACCGGGTTAATCTGAGGTGTTGGGAAGAGGTTTCGAATGGTTTTGTGATCTGTAGCTCTCTATTGATAAAGGCGTCGCGCGAGCACGTGTGTTTTGGGTCTATGCCAGAATAGTAGGCGCGCGCTGTGTAGCGGAGCGGCCTACAAGTAGCAGCAGCGGGCATTTTTAGAACTGGTCGTGAATTGTTTAAGGCTGTCTCTGTTTAATAAAAATACCATTAGGGCAGTGTTTTTGTTAATTGCGTCGTCGACATTCCAGAGCATAAAAAGAAATATAACAAGCAAAATAAAAGTAAAACTAATGTAACAATAAACAAATGTGTTAAAAAAAACAACACATTCTGCCTCTAACTAGACACATGAGTGTGTTCAGGTGGAGAGGACACAATTAGAGTTACTTTTAAAACAAAATGTGTTGAAATATTTATGTGGCCACTTGAAGATAACCCATTTTGTATTAGAAGGTGTTAAATTAGAACAACATGACAATATGACACAGAAACTATGAAAACAAATGACATAATTAAGGGTGTTTTTATTTAATATATCACTTTTTAAAGTGTATCTTAAACTTTTGAGTCGATTAAACCTCTAATAGTAAGTTGGCAGAACAGTAGTTTGTCTTACTTTCTGTTTTTATCAGAAACATGTTTATCAACTATTATTTGAAGTACAATGAAAGTCAATGAGCCCAATGAAACTGAGCGTTAAGTTAAAACATTATATTTAAACTGTGCATAGCGCTGTCTTACCAGCTGATTGGCTTTCAAAACGAATTTCTACAGGATCAATGCACAATCCTGATTGGTTAATCCTGGTGGCAGCTGGCAGCCAACACAGCAAGCTAAACTGACATGACTGGCAAGTTTGACATTAAGACGTTGTTAAATATGCAGGGCTCGTTAATGATGAATTCCTTGGCCTTTAACACTCTTTGACACGCTGTAGGCCGCGCGTCATGTGCGCTGTGTTTACGGTCGTTTGGAATTGTGCTCAGACATTTTAAGAGGGTTTTAAAACCGGAGCGTGTTTAGTCGCACTGCCCTGCAAACACATCACGTCGAATACTGCAGATCATTAATTTGTTTCACTTGTTTACTTAGTTACATATGTACTGTGCCTGTATGAAATCCAGCAGGTCACATCAGGATGTTTTCCTCTTCTTCACTCACCTCTTTCTGTCTGATAAACAGGCTCCACGTAGGCCATTATAAGCAGCACCCTCTGGGGCTAATAGTGTTAAGAGTTTTGTGTTAAAGTAGCCTGTCTTAAGTGTGGTGAAGGGGAACTCCGCCGACTTTTTTAAATTCTACACAGTTCATTTGTTGAGGTGTAAGCAGTATTCAGAGTAGTTTACCGACTCAGATTTGTTTAGTGTTGGCGATAGGAAGTAACACAAATGAGTCCAAAACGTTTTCATTATCTTAAAACAATGTGTCAGACATCAGGCAGTATATTTATATATTTATAGCCATTTCATGTAATGACTTTCTGTGAGGTGTCTTTTAGAGGTGGACGTTTGGTTCCTATCACCAAAACTATGAATATTCTCACTCGTTAAGTTACTTTAGAGCGGAGCATTTTACATTAAACAACGCGGAATGACTTCGTTTACATCTCACCCATTTAATTATGGAAAATAGATGCTGTGTGAGTTATTGTTTTATATCGTTTTATACTGTTGCGGCACGTTATAATGTGTATTAGTGTGTTATGGTGTGAGGTAGTTTCGGTGTGCTGTAGTTGTGTTAAGTGTTGGTGTGTTATGTTGTGTTGGAGTGTGCTGTGGTGTGTGTGCTGATCCTCCTGCTCCATCTCAGCAGGAGGTTCACCTGTGCCCACCTTTAGGGAAGGAAAAAAA